TCTTTTCTCTGCGCTTCAGAGTGCTGTTTAAGGGCCCAGCCCCTAAAACTGAGGGCATCTGGATTCAAAACCCGGATCTGCCACGTGCTTTCTCTGTGATCCTGGGTCCCTGACTTACCCTCTCTTGTCCTCAGTTTGCCTATCTGTCCAATGGGATGGGTAGTTATATGTGTTAATCTTGTAAGATGCTCGAAACCCACTCACAGTTGTTTTTACAGTTCAATTTCTATGTCCCCTCTGCTCCCACACCCTCCGTGGCTCCCCATGACCCTCAGAGTAAAACCCACACCCTTTCCTGTGACCCAGGAGACCCTGCAGGGTCCAACTCCTACCAATCTGCCTGTATCTCCCTGTCACACCATCTAGTCACTCTGTGGCCTTCCTGTAGCCTTCAAACACACCCAGCCTGTTCTGGCTTCAAGGCTATTCCCTCCACAGGTGAACCTCTTCCTGTGCTCAATTCCTTCTCCTCCTCTCTCAGGTCTGTCTCAAGTGCTGCGTTCCCTGGAATGCAGATCCTAGATCCCCCTAGGTCTGGTTGGGAGACCCCTATCACATTCACAAGTACCTGTTTATTTCAAATGTGTGGATCTCCATCCACAGACAACAAATCGAGGTTCTCTATCACCACGCCACCAGGCCTACGGGGGCGTTTTTCCTGGGTGTGTTTTTCTTCCCATATATTGCACCTGTGGAAACTGAGGCTCCACTGCTGGGAGGCAGCTTGGAGCAGGTACAAGCACCTCTTTGAGGCAGAACCACAACCTCTTGGCCTCATTTAACCCAAGCAATGTATTAAAGAACAAAACAAAACAGTAAACAGCAGCTCTTTCTGCTCTGGGAGAACAAATTGGAGTCACATGCTCCTCTCAGGAGACACCCCCTGCTGGTTCCCTGAAGAACCTCCATGTTCCTCCACCAAGGAATCCTCCAGACCCTACTTTTCCTTCCAGCCTATGCATGGCCCCTTGGGAAGTCTGTGTCTGGTTCTCCTTGGGACAAAGTTGGCACAAGTTTGGCTCAAAGGATTTGGCTGAGAGGTGTTTGTCAAATTAATGAACGCATCACCTGTCTGATGACTCCTGTGTGCCCTTCAAAAGCCCAACCCCAACATCCCTTTTTCAGGATACATTCCTTCTCTCCCCAGAAAGAACCCCCACTTACCTACTCCTCGCTCCCCACTCCTCTAACTCCAGGACCTACCCTATAGCACAGTCCTGACTGTACAAGGCTGAGAGCATCTGTGGCCAGCTGTTCTTCACGCAAGCTGGGGGCTTCCTGGGGACCAGGACTGAAACCCCTTGGGTACACAGGAAGATGGGCAGGAAGTGTTGAATGAGTGGAATACCTGTTGCAAGACCTGGAGTCAGTTGTCTCGAATTCACATCCTGGCCGAGGTGCTAGGCACTGAATCCTTCCCCTGACCTCTCTGAACTTTCCCATTTATTAAATGTGTTTACGTGGGGCCTGGGCCCCAAGTTGTCAAAAGGATGAACTGAATTAACACATAAAGCATGTAGTCTTGGGGACCCCAGGCTCCCACCTGTCCCATATGGGGAGTGATTCAACCCAGGACCAGCAGCTTTGTTCCTGTCTAGCACCCAGAACTAGAGTGCTGTCAACATTCATTAAGAGTGTATACACTCTTAATGAATGTTGACCAACAGGATTGGTGAGGGGAGGGGGGAGAAAAGAAAGCCTTTTAAATATTCAGAACATTTAAAAGTCTGAAACCTATGTACTGATGAGGACATTGGATGGAAGGCCCCCCTCCCAGGCCACTTGGGGAAACAGCCTGATCATTTCTTACCCCATGACCCAGCCATTCCATCCCTGAGCATTTACTGGGAGAAGTGGGGGTATAGTCATCAAAAGATATGTGCAAATCGGCTAAAAAAAAGCTTTCTCCAAGTTTGGCAAAAAGTGGAAATAACACAAATGTCTGCCAACAGGTGAAATGGACAAATAGTGAATAATTGGTACAATAAGAAAAAAGTACCCAAGTATTTGCAAGACTATGGAGAGATTGGAACGCTCATATACTGCTGGTGGGAATGTAAAATGATACAGCTGCTGTGGAAGCAATCTGGCAGTTTTTCAAAAAGCTAAACATGAAATTACCATATGATCCAGCAATTCCGCTGCTAGGTATAGATCCAAGGGAATGGAAAGCTGGTATTCAACAAGAACTTGTACACAAATGTTCCGAGCAGTCTATTCACACTAGCAAAATGGTGGAAACAACTCAAATACTCACCAATGGATAATGGCTAAACACGATGTGTGGACAAACATCCATACAAAAGAATAAAGTAGTCATGCGTGCTACAATGTAGATGAACCCTGAAAATATTATGCTGAGCGAAAGAAGCCAGATAGAAATGGCGATCCATTGCATGAAATATCAAGGACAGGAAAATCCATAGGATAGAAAGCAGATTAAGGATTGCTAGTGACTGCAGGGCAGGGGGGTGGGGGAGATGAGAGTGGCTGCTGATAGGAACCAGGTCTCTTTTTAAGGGGACGGAAGTGTCGTGCAGCTAGATATTAGTGAGGATTGCACAATACTGTGAATGTGCTGAATGTAACTGAATATAAACTTTAAGTGGGTACAATGATAAATTACATGTTATGTGTACTTTACCACAATGTAAGAATAAGAAGTGGTACCTAAGACCATCACATAGCCATGAAAAGGCTCAAACACCTGCTCCTTGCCATAACAGGAGGAGCAAGAGAAGCCAGATCCAAGATTGGAAACCCTGTGTGACCCCATTGCTGTGAAGTTCAAAACCAAGTAAAATTCACCAACGGTGACAGCAATCATGGCAGTGTTCACCTCGAGGAAGGAGAGAATCAACTGGAGGGTCCAAGGAACTGCCAGGGTTGGGAATATCCTAGATCCCGATCTGGGAACTGTCCCCTCATCAAGCCCCACTTGACTAAATACATGTTAAAAAGAGAAAAAATTACAAGGGGAAGAAAATGAGAGTGTCCAGCAGTCCTGAGGACCCAGGGCTCCATTTCCTTCACAATGCCATCACCTGACCCCTGGTGACTTTGAAACAGGCATGGAGCTGCGGACGGACAAAGGTAGGAGGGCAGTGACCTGCGTCCGGTTCCTGGGATTTCAGAAATGACCCCCAGATGCTGCTTCATCTCTGAAAGATGCTCCCCACGTTCCCCATACCAGGTTCCTCAGCCCAGAGACACTCTGGGACAGGGACACCTCAGGGCTCCAGAACACTAAGAACATCAGAGATCTACAGGGGCCCTCTTCCCTCCCAGTCAGACTCCCTGGTGAAAACACATCTTGACACCTCAGGGTCCTTTAAGAACAATTTGAATGAATAACTCACCGCCTTGAGCAGAAGGAAGAGTAGAAACTTCAGTCAGAAGGTCCTGGATTTGAGTCTTGACCCAGTCGATAAATACACATGAAGGAATAAATAAGTGAATGAATGAATGGTGGGCCAATGGGCTTTTTTTTTTTAAAAGATTTTATTTATTTATTTTTAGAGAGAGAGGCCACTCCACCCCTGCCACCTACAGGGGACCTGTAGTGCCCCCTACAGGGGACCTGGCCAGCAACCCAGGCATGTGCCCTGACTGGGAATCGAACTGGCGACCCTTTGGTTTGCAGGCCAAAGCTCAGTCCACTGAGCCACACCAGCCAGGGCTCAATGGGCTTTCCATCCCTGATCCACAAGCCTTTATCATATAGCCTTATCGTGCAAAGGCCAGGACCCCAGAGAAGCCTCAACCTGGTCTGGCCTCCAACAAGCTCCCATCCTCGTGGGGAGCCTGACACAGACACTCACGCACTCGTAATTGCTCAGAGCAATAATTTAAAAAATCATGAGCAGTCAGGACACAGGGAAGGGAGCCAAGGAGGAGGGATTGGAATAGAGGAAGGAGGCCAGGGCCAAAATGAGAGAGAGGAAGTAGAGAACGTTAGATGGCATGTGGCCAGTGACCGTTACACACTGACCAGAGAGGAAGTTGGGATGAACAACTCAGATAATGAAGAGCAAGGCCAGCATATCCTGCTTCCTAGATATTTTCATTTGCCTTGATTTCTTTTGTATACCTCCAGAGATGGGGAACTCACTCCCCAAAGGAGACAGCATAGGCATAGGCAACTGTTGAAATGTTTGATGCAATGTGATTTTTCAAGTAGTGGTTGCCACAGGTAAAAAGACTGAATGAGGCTGTTTGGGGTGGGAGGGATACTCATGTGAGCTGGGCAGTCAGTCCCTGCCACAGGTTGGATCTGGAATCAGACCCCCCTCTGAATTCGAAACGCTGTTCTACCACTTATCGGCCTGATGACTTCATTTCTCCAAGCCTCAGTTTTCTCTTCCTCTGAAACAACCCTAATAACAGCATCTACCTCATAGGTTCGTGCATATATTCAATGAGCTAACGGAATAAAATGCCTGGCACACAGCAGATGCAGGAGTGTTTTGCCCTGCTCCAGGCCCAGAGTGCTCTGGAATGCATCCCAAACACACTGTACTTTATTAACTAAAACTTCGCATGTGCTCACTTCTGCTTCAGGTGCTCTTGCCCCACCATCCACACCTAGCAAACTCTGACACATCCCTCAAAGCTCCAACTACAAGACACTTTTCTTTTCTCTGTCCAAGCGCTGACCTAGGGAGCTGGGAGCAGTTCTGATTGGGCCTACTGCGATGTACTGTGTGTTCCCCGAGGGCAGGGATTCTGATTGGCAAGTGGTAGACATGCAGCAAGGTTTGCTGAATGGATGGATGAATACGAGTGGATGGGTGGATGGGTGGATGGATAGTTGGGTGGATGGATGATGACCTTTCGGCAGATGCAAAGTGGTGACCTAAAAGTCAGCACAGCTTCCACGACTTCTAGGGGCCAGTAGGGGGCACAGAACAGGCGGGAGGAAGACTTCCGAGCCGGGTTGTCATCGTTTCCGGTACGGCCCCTTTAAGGGGAGGGGCCGGGGGGCGGGCTCTCGCAGCCTCAGGGCGGTGCGAACATGGCGGCAGTGGAGGCAGTGGCGGCTGCAGAGGCAACGGGGCCCTGGGCGTCTGAGGCGCCGAGTTCATTGCTGCTCGTGGTGGGCGGCGAGTGCAGCTGCCCCGGGCTGCTGAACTACGTGTTGGAGGAGCTCGAACGAGGTGGGGCGGGAGGGGGATGGCAGGGGTGGGGCGGCCCGGTGGGGGATGGGGCGGGGGCCCGGGGGGGTGGGACTGCTACGGGGGAGGGGAGCGGATGATTCCGCGGAGCTGGGCCAGGGAATCGGGGTGGGAGGTGGCGAAATCCAGCGGGCCCGGACCGGGCGGTCGGTGGACTGAGCGGCACGATACAGGGATCGAGAGCTCAGATCCCTTCACTGTTAGTCGCACGGCTCGGGCCAAGACCATGGGCGTCCGCCCTAGGCTGGGCTGCCCCGCCCGGACCCGCGTGCAGACCACTAAAGGGACATGGCCCGGCTTTGGGACTGGTGCGATTGGGCAACACGGGCAACAGCTCCGCTTCCCGCCCGCTGGGCCTGCCACGGGGAGGGCAGCGTCGCCTGAAATCCCCGGGTGTCAGCAGCCTGGATGTCCTGGAGGGAGGAGCAAAGACGGGGAGTCCGAGCCTGGAGCCCCGGGGCCCACTTTCCGTGGCTCCACGAGGAGTTGCTAATTGGGATGTGGGCGGGTGCGGCCTATCCGTGGGATTTGGCACCAGGAGAGGTGAGTCATAGGTGCACCTGCGAGGTTCAATTAACCTGCAGCCACTTGGCATACCACACCTGGCATGCATTCCACACCGTGGTTGGAGGGCAGTCATCTCTCCATTCGGCAAGGCCTGGGGTCCACCGCCTTTAAAGTGGGGCGACGGCACACACACGATTCACAAGCTTGGAAAGTGTTCCCCTGCAGAGCGCTGGGTAGGGAATAGGAGAGGCTCAGCCCTGCTGTCACAGGGCTAAGTGCGTGTGTGAGAGGGGAGTGGAGGCGGGGGACCCAAGGTGAATGAGGGGACGGAACCAGTTTGAAGCTTGCATGTTGTCTGGGTGGCGCAGAAGGATGCAAAAGGCAAAGAGGATCTAAAGGGAGGGGGCGCCTTTTAGACAATGGGAACAGCTGGAGCCAAGGCCCAGCGGTAGGAATGTGTCTGGTAGGGGGCAGAAACAGTGAGACCCGTGGTGGCATTGGGGCAGGTGCTGGAGGGGAGGAGGTGACTGAGATGATCAAGATGCAGGAGCAGGTTGAGGGGAGGGGGCTGATCTCCCACCTCGATGCCCCTTCCCCCCACCAGGCCTCAGGTCCTGGGACATTGACCCTGGCATCTGCAGCCTGGATGAGCAGCTCAAGGTGTTCGTGTCCCGGCACTCGGCCACCTTCTCCAGCATCATAAAAGGTGAGACTGCAGACCCTGTGTGCCCCGTGGGCTCTCCTTTTGTGTTGGCCGGGCACGTGTTCTCTGAATGCCTGAACAACAATGATACCGCTGAGCCCTGCTGAGTGTGGAGCGGGGGCAGGCCCTGACCCAGAGGGACCTCCCTGGTCATCCACAGCCCACGGGGCGGGGCGGATGCTCCTGTTTTTGTCCTTATTTGACAGAAGAGGCAGATGAGGCGTGGGGGACAGGGAGGCCTGGGGTGAGGGGGCTTTTTGGAGGAGAAGCATCCGGGACTGCTGTGTTCAGTGGAGGGAAGGGCCCAAGCAAAGGGGCAGAACATTTGGAAAGTGAGGAGCTGCTGGGTGGGCGGAAGGTGTGTGGGCTTCGTGTGGCAGGGAATGTGTTTGGTTGATGACCATGACCCCTGCGCAGGGTTGGGTACATAACAGGTACTCAGTAGATGGGCAGCTGAGAAAGTTGCAAGATCTAGGAGGGATTTGGGGTGCTCGAGAAAGCCCCACATAGCCTGTGGCTCCTTGGGGATTCTGTGGTAACAGCAGCAGCTGCTGGGCAGGGCCTGGGTGTCTCCTGGAGCTTCCCCACCTCGGCCAGTGCTGCAGCCCCCCTCCCCTCAGCCAGCCCTTGAGTCACCTCCAGGCTGCTGCAGGAGCGGAAGGAAGTGACCAGTCGCCTCATTGTCCCAGCAGTTCCGGGTGGTTTCCTGACCCCTCATGAGAAGGGGGAATTGGATATCCTGTCGGCTCTGTGTGACCTCAGTGGCCACTTCCCCTCTCTGTGCCTTGGTTTCCCCACCTGAATGGAGCAATATCCAGGTTGTGATAAGAAGCACACACTTTAGCCCTGGAGGGTACTTGCCTCCCTAGCCTCCAGGCTTGGTGTTCCATGTTGGAAGCACATCTGGGCTCCACGGAACAGACTAGGGTTGCGATCCCAGAATCAACCCCACTCCCAGCCCTGGGCTTCCTCCTGCTGCTCCTCATTCCCGCCCCACCTGCCACTTCCCTGTCCTCCTACAGCCCTGCCTCAGGGCCCATGTTGTTCCCTCATTCGCCCTCCCTGGGCTCAGGCTCCCTGCCTATAAAATAGGGGTGATGATGGTATCCCCCACAGGGCTAACGGCTGTGAATTGGGCCTCATAAGCAGTGATGGCCTTGTTGTCACCTCTGTTTCCAGTGGGAGGCCTGCTGAGGTAGGCTTCCTGTTCCTGCCTCATCCGGGCCTGCGGCGCTGCCATGTAGGCCAGCCCTGCCTGGCGGGGGTTCCTGGGAAGTAGATCCTGGAGGGGCTCATGGCTGCCTAGGGGCCCTCAGGGAGGCAGGGTTTGACCTGGACAGCCTGACCCTGTGCACGTGGCCCAGCTCCAAACTCACAGGGTCCAATCCTTCAACAGGCCAACGCAGCCTGCACCACCGAGGAGACACCCTGGAGACCCTGGTCCTTCTGAACCCGTCAGACAAGTCCCTGTGTGATGAGGTAGGGACCGGTCAGCTCCTGGAGTGAGTGGGCTGCGGAGACCACTGCCATTCCCCATCCTGATCTGTGTCCCTGACTTCGTGTTGCCTGAAATCCTCCTCTCCGCACCCAGCAGCAGGGCCCTCTTCCCCAGGAAGCCTCCCCCATCCCCCAAAACGCTCGAGCCTGGGAGAAAGGACCGGGATAGGGAAGGTCTGGCGGAGGGAGGTGGGAAGGCAGAAACTGATGGATAGTTGCGATTTGTGTGTTCCCTCTGGCTGGGCCCTAATAGTTGTCTGAATTGACTTTTTAGTACTTGTAGTTTGTGAATGTCTGTATCCTTCTCCCAATTATCCATGAGAAAAAGGAAGAAGATAGAGCCCCAGGACATCCCCATAGAGACCCTTGTACAGGTTGATTCCTCTCATCAAAACTGCTCTCTCAGTGGGCTCAAGAGGAGACAGCCAGTCCTGTGGCATTGGGGCTGGGCCATAGGGAGAGGTGGGCTTGAGGGAGCCCCAAAAGGGTATAGAGGATTTTGAAGAGGAGGGGGCACTGGAGCCAGATGTTTCAGGATGAGGAGTTTTGGGTGGGGGTTGAGCAGCAGGAGGCAGAGAGGCTGCATTCCCGGCTTCTCGTCAAGCACTGGCCTCGCCATGGGGTGGAGACCGGAGTGGGGTGGTTATGCATAGGTTTGGGGTTGGGGGCCATCCCAAAGTGGGGTGCTGGTTATGTCACTGTGCAGAATAGGGCCTTTAACATTCTCCTCCTTCCTCAGCTCCGGAACCTTCTCCTGGACCCTGCTCCTCACAAGCTTCTGGTGCTGGCTGGGCCCTGCCTGGAAGAGACAGGGGAGCTGCTGCTCCAGACTGGGGGCTTCTCGCCCCGCCACTTCCTCCAGGTCCTGGGGGACAAAGAGGTAAGCTGCCTCCTCCCCACCCTGCCTCCCTGGGCTGTGAATCCCATGGGCTGCGTGGCCCCTGGTGACCTGCAGTCTGGAGCCCCATCTTCTCTTGCGTGGAAGGATGGTGGTGACGTGTATCCCTTCTGCTGTCAGGGCACAGTTTCATCACCCATTACAGTGTGTGGTTCAAAGGTGGTCCTGTGAATTAACAGACATCCCGAAGGCTTCAAGTGGCACTCCAGGTTCCCTTGTGGAGTCCTTAGTCTGGGTGGGGCAGACGGAAAAAAAAACAAAACAACAACCCAGAAAAAAACAGGTTTATGGTATACGCAGTGATGTACCCATGGTGAGGAAGAGCCAGTGACAGGGCAGGGAAGGCCTCCCTGGAGGAAATAGCAAGTGCAAAGGCCCTGGGGCAAAGAGAGGGAGAGAGGGCAGGGGTGGAGGAGCAAAGGGTGAGGCAGGACTTGTGGGGGGGGCTGGATTTTTGTCCTGAGGGTGTCAGGTAACCCCACAGCCCCAGGAGACAGGATGGGGGTGTCCTTGTTTAGTTTTCCCAAGGTGCTGGGTGTTGCCTGGCTCCAGGTAGCTCCTTAGCCATTTTCTCCCTCTGCAGATCCGGGATCTCCTGGATGCTGCACCCCCGTCTGCCGACCCGCCCAAGCTCACGATCACTTGCCCGACCCTCGGAGACTGGGCCCAGCTGGCACCCGAAGTGCTTGGCCTCCCTGGTGGGCTCCAGCTGCAGCTGAACCCACCAGTGCAGCGGCCGGCCTCTGAAGGTCTGCGTGAGTTCCTGGAGTACGTGGCTGAGTCACTGGAGTTGCCATCCCCCTTCGAGCTGCTTGAGCCACCAGCATCCGTGGGCTTCCTCAGGCTCGCCCGGCCTTGCTGCTACATCTTCCCCGGTGGCCTCGGGGATGCCGCCTTCTTTGCCGTCAATGGCTTCACCATGCTGGTCAACGGCGGCTCAAACCCCAAGTCGAGCTTCTGGAAGCTGGTGCGGCACCTGGACAGGGTGGACGCGGTTCTGGTGACACATGCAGGTGCCGACAGCCTCCCGGGTCTCAACAGCCTGCTGCGGCGCAAGCTGGCGGAGCGTGAGGAGGCAGCAGACAGTGGGGACTCTGGGGACGACAGGCTGCGCAGGCTCGTCTCGCCAGGCCTGGGCGTTGTGTTCCTCAATGCCCGCGGGGCCACCTCTCGTCTGGTGCGTGGTGAGGATGAGGCGGAGCTGGCCTGTAGACTCCTGGCTCGGCTGGGCATAGAGCCTCTGCCCCTGAGCCGCGGGACGATGCCAGCCGAGCCCACTGTGCTCTTCCAGAAAATGGGTGTCGGCCGGCTGGACATGTACGTGCTGCACCCGCCCTCAGCTGGTGCCGAACGCACGCTGGCATCTGTGTGTGCCCTGCTGGTGTGGCATCCCACAGGCCCCACTGAGAAGGTGGTGCGTGTGCTGTTCCCTGGCTGCACGCCACCTGCCCGCCTCCTGGATAGCCTGGTCCGCCTGCAGCACTTGGGTTTCTTGCGGGAACCTGTGGTAACCCCCCAAGACCTGGCGGGGCCTCGGCGCACTGAGAGCAAGGAAAGTGTGGGTTCCCGGGACAGCTTGAGGAGAGAGGGCCGGACTACATTGCCTGCCAGGCCTGCCCCGGAGCGCCCTGGGGTGGCCCGGAAGGAGCCGCCACGGGCTGAGGGCCCTCGCCGGGCTGAGAAGGAAGCTAGGCATCCCCGTGAGGTGAAGAAGGACCCCAAGCCGAGCACTGCTCGGACCCAGCCCAGGGAGCTGAACCGGGCATCCTCTACCGTGATCAACAGCAAGAAGCCGGGTGCTCAGGCAACATCCAAGCCCCGAAAAGCACTCAGCAGTCACCGTCCAGGTGTCCCATTGGCGGCTAATGGGCCGCACAGTGGCCCCAGCTTCCGGTGTGGAGAGGCAAGCCCCCCGACAGAGGCCTGCAGCTCTCCCGTCCCCCAGCTGGTGGCCACGCCCAGCCAAGGGAGCAGCCTGGAACTGGGGCTGAGCCCCACAGGGGAGGACAGTAACAGTCTAAAGACTCAGGAGCAGCTGGTGGCCAGTGGCACCTCCCCGCCACACACCCCCTCACCAGCTGGAGCCCAGCAGGGCCCGGCTGAGGGCAGTAGGCAGCTGTCGCTGAGCCCTCTGCGCGGCGGGGAGGTGGGGCCAGATGCCTCCCCCACAGTGACCACACCTTCCCTGCCTGCTGAGGTAGGCTCCCCACACTCCACAGAGGTGGATGAGTCCCTGTCCGTCTCCTTTGAGCAGGTGCTGCCACCGCCCCCTGTCCCTATGAGTGAGGCAGGGCTGAGCCTCCCACTTCGAGGCCCCCGGGTGCGGCGCTCGGCCTCCCCGCATGACGTGGACCTGTGCCTAGTGTCGCCCTGTGAGTTCGAGCACCGCAAGGCCCTGCCCATGGCCCCCACGTCCCCCGGCAGCTCCAATGACAGCAGCGCTCGGTCCCAGGAGCGGGCAGGTGCTCTCGGGGCTGAGGAGACACCGCCCACATCCGTCAGTGAGTCCCTGCCCACGCTGTCTGACTCGGACCCCCTGCCTGCTGCCCCTGGCACTGTGGACTCAGATGAGGACATGGAGGGCTTTGGGGTCTCTCGCCGCAACCCACTGCCCGACCCCCTCAAGGTCCCCCCACCGCTGCCCACCCCACCCAGCATCTGCATGGTGGACCCCGAGCTATTGCCCCCCGAACAGTCCCGGCGGACAGAGGGCCTTGGCCGTGCCCGGAAGCCCCTAGCCCGCTCCGCCCCCAGTACTGCTGCTCCCAAAGCCACTCCAGCGACCACTGCCAAGACCAAGGGGCAGGCTAGTGGGAACCGGGCCAGTCGGCCTCTCAGCGCCCGGAGCGAGGCCAGTGACAAGGGAGGTCGGGCACCCCTGTCCAGAAAGCCCTCAGTCCCCAAGACGGCCACTCGGGGTCCATCGGGTAAGTACCTGGGAGCTGGAGACCTCAGTGGGTTACCAGCCCAAGTCCTGTCCTTAATGCTGTGTGACCTTAGTTACACCTGCCACCCTGTCTGGGCCTTATCTTCCTCAATAAAGTAGCTCCAGCCTCACTTCAAACACTTGGCAGTTCCCAATTGCCCAAGCAGTGCTGGCAGTGGAAATGTGCAGTGTCATCGTGGACCTGCCGGTAGCCACAGTGCACGAAAAGAAACGGGTGAAGTTGATAGTGTATTTTACACAACCGATTGTGTTGAGGTTCTTAAGACCAGGGCCAGGTGGGCGGTTGGCCAGGAGGGCCCAGCTGCACTCCCTGCCGCAGGGCATGGGAGGGCGCTCCGGCTCTGCGGGCTCTGCAGCGCGGGGTCCTGCGCATCCCTGCGGAACCGGACCTGAGCTGCTAGGGTCCTCTTGTAGTGGAGTCGCACCATGCGCTTAGTTCCTGAGCAGCAAGCTGTGGTGGCGTGGGAGAAGCGGGTCATTAGAGACTCAGCTGCGGGGGTTTCAGGAACTGGTCATGTCAGCACCTCTGCCTGGCTTGTACCATAGTTCCAGACTCCCGAGCAAGGAGGAAGCCAGTGTTTGGCCCCAGCCGCGTTGTTACAGGAGTAGTATAGGATGGAGAGCCGCCCTTACTGTTCACACAACGTGGGGATCCCTTCTGAAGTCTCCCCGGGGACCGGCCCAGCAGGCAGGCCTTCCTGAGGATAGCTGTCTCTCGCCTGCTCTGCTACCCTTTCCCAGTTTTGCTTAATTGTAATAAGGGAGGTACAGAACATCACATTTACCACCTTAGCTATTTTTAAGTGTCCAGTTCAGTGACAGTAAGTACATCCACATGCAGCCACCCCCACCGCCCGTCTCCAGATCCCCCTTCGTCTTGAACTGAAATGGTCCCCATTAAACTGTAACTCCCTATTTCTCCCTCCAGCCCCAGCCCCTGGCACCCACCCTCCTTTCTGTCTCTCTGGACCTCACTCCTCTAGGGACCTCATGCAAGTGGAATCACAATATTTATCCTTTTGGCGACTGGCTTATTTCACTTGGCACAATGTCCTCATGGTTTATTCATGCCGTAGCATGTGTCAGAATTTCATTTCTTTTTAAGGCTGAGTAATGTTCCGTGGTACAGAGAGACCGACCACATTTTGTTCAGTCATTCTTTTATGGGCACTTAGGTTGCTTCCACTTTTTGGCTGCTACAAATAAGGCTGCTGTGAATGTGGACGTGCAAATGTCTCTTCGAGACCTTGCTTTAAATTTTTTGAGATCAATACAGAAGTGGAATTGCTGCATTAAAAAAATTTTTCATTTAACTTGGGGTGCACACGGCTCCCAGTCTTCCTGTAAATTACAGGAACGTTGGGTCCAAGCAGAAGGTGACCCCACAATCTGCACAGATAATCTCCGCTGCTACACAGGCGTTACGGTAGGCGTCTTGTGGTATAGCGGAGCTAATTACTGGTGAGACAAAGGGACCATACCTCCTGGTGGTGTAAGGATGGGTAGTGGCTTACAACAGACACCAGCACCTAGTGTGATACTATCTCAGTTGCTATGCCACTCTGGCCATTTGCTGACAGGAATCTTTATGGTTATACTGTGTGAGCTTATAGGACACACCTAATCACTAACTATGAGGCTTTGATGCCGGCTGGGCTAGTTAGGTCAGGTTCAGAACATGGAAATTCGAAAGAAATGGGGGGGGGGGCGTGCACAAAAATGGAGTCAGCTTTGTTTATATTTACGTCTATATGGAAACAGCCTTGGAAGCTCCCAAAGACACCAAATAGTGGATTTTAAACTCTTTGATGAAAAAGATGAAGTTAACAATCAGAACAGTTTATAGTCTATGTACAGTGGATATTTTAATACTTCAAGATGTAGAAGCATTACAACCATATAGATCCTTTTACCCTCCCCCTTTTATATTATAGTTATTATGTGAATTATGTCCACATACATTGAAAACCTCACCAGATACTGTTACAATGTTTGCTCTCAGTAGTTACACATATTTAAAAGAATTAAGAGGATACATTCACCATTTATGTTTCTCCTTCATTCCTTAAGTTTCCCTCTGCTGTTAATTCCCTTCAGCCCAAAAAACTTTCTTGAGCCCTAGCCAGGTGGCTCAGTTGATTAGAGCATCGCCACAGAAGCCAAAAGTTTGCAAGTTTGATACCAGGTCAGGGCACATACCTAGGTTGTGGGTTTGAGATCCGGTGGACGCATGTACGGGAGGCAACCAGTTGATACTTCTCTCTCTCTTCCCCTGCCTCCCTCTCTAAAAATCAGTAAACATCTTCAGGTGAGGATTTAAAAAAAAAAAAATCCTTGAGCATTTCTCATAGAGCACGTATGCTAACAATTCTCTTCATTTCCCTTCATCTGAGAATTGCCTTTACTTTGCCTTCATCTTTTATCAATGTATATTTTCTCTGGACGTATGAGTAGTAATTTTTTTTCTGGCACTTCGCTCTGTTTTTTTGATAGTGGCCATCCTAATGGGTGTAAAGTGGTATCTTGGGGTTTTGATTTTTATTTCCCTGATGATTAGTGTGATGCTGAATATCTTTTCATCTGCTTGTTGACCGTTGTTATATCTTTAGAGAAACATCTACTAGGTCCTTTGCCCATCTTTGAATGGGGTTGTTTTTGTGTTTTTCTTGTTGCGTTGCGAGAATTCTCTTTGTATTCTGGATATGAATTCCTTATCAAATATATGATTTACAATATTTTCTCCCAGTCTTTGTGTTGCCTTTTTACTCTGTTGATAGTGTCCTTTGATGCACAAAATTTTTACTTTTTTTAACATAAAATCCAGTTTGTCTTTTTTATTCTGTTGTCTGTGCTTTTGGTGTCATATCCAAGAAATTATTGCCAGATCCAATGTAAGAGTTATAAAACTCTTTGTGTAAGCTCTTACATTATCTCTTTGATCAATTTTGAGTTAGTTTTTAAATACGGTCTTAAACAGGGGTTCAACTTCGTTCTTTTGCACATTTCCCAGTACTGTTTGTTGAAAAGCCTATTCTTTCCCCTATTGAATAGTCTTGGCACGTTTGTCAAAAATCATTTGACCATATATGAGAGGCTTTATTTTGGGGCTCTTTATTCTATGCCACTGTTTTTTTTTTTTTTTTTTTTTTTGCTCTTATTAATTTGAGTCTTTTCTCTTTTTTTTCTTAGTCCAACTAAGGATTTGTCAATTTTGTTAATCTTTTCAAAAAAACAACTTTTAATTTCATTATTTCTAAGTTTTTCTATTCTCTATTTTATTGATCTCTGCTCTAATCTTTATTTCCTTTCTTTTGCTAGCTTTAGATTTACTTTGTTCTTCTTTTTGTAGTTCCTTAAATTGCAATGTTAGATTGGTGATTTGAAATATTCTTTTTAAGTAAAACCTTTTAAAATGTACTTTGATAGCTGTAAACTCCTCCCTTTAGCACCACTTTCTTTCAGAGATTCTCTTTATTTCTGCTTTCAACAGTTTGATTACAGTGTTTCTCAGGGTGGGTCTCCCTGAGCTTATTCTCCTTGGAATTCATTAAGCTTCTTCGATGGTTATGTTCATGTCCTTCATCAAATATGGGAAATTTGGGGCTCTTTTTCTTAAAGATTTTATTTACTTTTAGAGGGGAAGGAAGGGTGAAAGAGAGGGAGAGAAACATCAATATGCTAGAGACACATCAATTCTTTGCCTCTCACACGCCCCCATCTGGGGACCTGGCCCATAACCCAGGCATGTGCCCTGACTGGGAACAGAACTGGTGACCTTTTGGTTCACAGGCCAGTGCTCAATCCATTGAGCCACATCAGCCAAGGCGGGGTTCTTTTTTTAAAAATCTTTCTGGCCCTTTCTCTCTTCTTGGTGCTTCACAGGTTTCTTAGTCCCTGTTCACTCTCTTTAATGTTTTCTTTCTGTTCTTCAGACTCCTAACTTCCATTATTATATCATCAATATCACTGATTTCTCTGCCCGTTCAAATTTTAAACACAATCCCTCTAGTGATTTTTTTCCATTTCAGCTATTGTATTTTTTTCAGCTGCAGGCTTTGTTTTTGGTTTTTGTTTTCTGTCTCTTCATTGATTTTATATTTTGTTCATACATTGTTTTCTTAATTTTTTTTCCACATGTTCCTTTAGGATCTTTCACACAGTTGTTCTGAAGTCTTTGTCTAGTAAGTCTGCCATCTGGTCTTTGTCAGGCAGTTTTTGTTGATTTCTTGTTTTTCCTTTGAATGGTCCCTACTTTCCTGTTTCTTTGTGTGCCTTGTGATTCTTTTTTTTTTAACTGAACATTTGAATGTAATGATGTGGTGACTCTGAAATCCAAATTTTCCCCTTCCCCAGGGTTTCCTGTGACTTTTTTTTTTTTTAACAGTATAAAATTTTTATATTTAGGTTAGCCAGGGACTCAGTTTAGATGATCCCAATTTTGCTGGCAATGTCCAAAGCCTCATAGCCAGGAGTCAGTCGAACATATGCCTTCTTCTCTCCATCAGGCCTGATCAGGGCGTTGACCTTGGCCACGGCAACATCATAGAGCTTCTTCACAGCCTGTTTGATCTGGGGCTTGTTGGCCTTGACCTCCACAATGAACACAAGTGTATTGTTGTCTTCTATCTCCTTCCTGGCTGACTCGGGAGTCAGGGGGGACGTGGTGATGGCATAGTGGCCCAGCTTGTTTCTCCTGGAGGCGCTCGCTCTTCCCAGGATATTTGGGCTGCAGTCAGAGCTACAGTGTCTTTGGCCACCAAAAGGTGGGTGACATGTGGATCTTTTTTCTCTTTTTTTGTAGCTGTGGATGCCTTTCAGCACTGCTTTCTTTGCCTTCAAAGGCTTTTTTTTTTTGGCTTCAGCTTTGGGAGGGGCAGGGGCTTCCTTTTCTCTTTGGGCGCCGTCTTGGGCATCATCGTTGTGAAAAGCTCCTGTGGCTTTTTGTGTGTGCGATTATCATGGGCCGTCTCCGTGGTGGGGATCAGTCTGAGGTGTAAATGTGAGGTGTTCTCGGGTCTTATCTCAGCCTCTGCCTTTCTCTGGGCTTGTGTGGTAACTTTCCAAGTTCTCCTGCACATGTAGTTGCTTTTGAATGTCCTAGTCCTTAGGTACCGGGCTCCCAGGAAAAGGAGGTGGGGGGAGAAGAAGAAGAAGAAATGTGCAGTCCTTTAAATCCCATGAAGTCACTCCAACTTGAGGGGGAGGGGCCGCAGTACAATTACCCTCTAGGTGGGGAGGGAGGTTCCTGGTGCTTCCCACTGTCCCATCCTCCCACTACGTTAAAACTCTTTCCTGCTACACATAAAGGTGATGTTTCACATGTAGTCAACAACAGAAATTACTAGATAATTCCCCTTCTCTTTTTCATGCTAAGTTTTGGGAGACTGGCACGTGTTTGACACTCTCGGCTCATGTTGGCTTCCACCCACTGCTGTGCAGTACTTGGTGTCCACGGCAGTAGTTGATGCAGGGCTGGAATTACCTAGGGAACGCTGATGAGAAGGCAGTGGCAGTGACAACAGTGATAATAACTGTAGCTCATGTTTAGTGAGCACTTGTCTTTGGGTTGGGCCCCATTTCAGGTGCCCGGGGCAGTCCTGCCCTCCAGGAGCTGATGGGGGTCTCTGGCTTCTCTCCCCGCATGGCCTGTCCACGGCTCCTGGACGCCCTGGTCTCTCGATTCTCTCTGAGCCTCAGTGCCCACCTCTTGTTTGTCTTGGGCAGATTTCAAGAGAGGCCCCTGAGGGACCCCTGTGACCTTTGGCAGGTCAGAGGTTCCTAGCACAGTGGCAGAGAGAGGGGTGTGCCCCCCCCCCGCCGGCAGGGGCCCATGGGAAAGGGGGTCAGCTGAGGCTCTGCCTGCCAAGGCATTTGGCCTCTTTGGAAAAACCACGGTCTTGGCCACTCAGGATTCTGCCCCTCCATGCTAGATCAGCATTCAGTGTCTTTAAAGGGCCAGAGGGTAAACTTTGAGCTTCACAGGCCAGACCATCTCTGTCCCAAACTCAGCATCTCAGGGAGTAACTGAACGGGGGTTCCAGTAAAACCACCTTTACAAAAGCAGATGGTTGCCAGCCCCTCCTCCACCCCATCTCCCTGCCCACGGCCCCCTCGCCTTCTCTTCGCCCATCCACCTCGACCACCCCGTCTCCCTGTGCTTTCCGTAGCCGCCGTCGCTCCTTTTCCTGAGGCTCCACAGTTTCCTTATCACCACAGTTTCATTTCGAGTGACATGCCATGTGCCCAAAGCTAGGGTTTCATTGTTTCACACATGCCCCTGCAGCCCTTTGGGCCCACACTCAGATGGGCAGTGTTTATGATCATAAGACATCAAGTGTCTGGCAGGCTTCTTGTGCCCAAGACCTCAATCAAGTGATTATAAAGTCGCTCACCCCAAAGTGATGGCCTTGTCCTCCTTGAGCAGGCTCTGGGTCCAGGGCCGCGGTCCAGAATCCAAGCGCAGCTGCTCCAGCTCCATTCAGGCCTCCCTGTCCTGGGTGTCCCTCCTGCAACCTGATCCCTCCCGTACCAGCCCTGGCTCTCATCACCCTTGTGGGCAGTGATTTCTGTCTGTCTGGGTCACTGCCAGGTCCCCAGGATGTGATAAATGTCCCTTCACTGGTTGAACAGATGGATGCTGCAGTAGCAGCAGAGCCTGCCAGGCATCAGCTGCTTCTAGGGCTCAAGCACCAAAAACACTCTCTTCCAGGAAGCCCTCCATAGGTGCCCCTTCCTTCTAGCCCTGAAGATGTCTGTGTCTGGGGACTGGCCAGGGAGGTTCCCAGCTAGGGGTGTTACGAGTTCACTGAGCACCTTGTCCATGCCAGGGAGGGCTTGTCAACCAACCACAAAGCTTTGGGGAAGACATTGGGGAGATCAGGACTCCTGCTTAGAAGGGAGCCATTCAGGTGAAAATAGAGCTGAGTCTCAGCCCCTTCCCAATCCAGGAACTCACAGTTGATCCCATCCCTCTTGCCCACAGGGACAGCCAGCGGCCGGCCACGTGGGCTGGAGCCCTCGCCTGGCTCCCCTGTCTACCTTGACTTGGCTTATCTGCCCAGCGGGGGCAGCATCTGCCTGGTGGATGAGGAGTTCTTCCGGCGGGTCCGCGCGCTCTGCTATGTCATCAGCGGTCAGGACCAGCACAAGGAAGAAGGCATGCGGGCCGTCCTGGACGCACTGCTGGCTGGCAAGCAGCAGTGGGATCGTGACCTCAAGGTGAGCGCCCACTCCAGGGCCTTAGTCTCTCTCGGCACAGGGCCTCCCAGGGTCTTCCTGTTGGACCCACACAGAGATGGGAACGGGCTCAGACTCAACTGCATCCCCAAGGTCACAAGGGAATGAGGGCAAATGCAGGAGTCCTCCGCAGCTCTCAAAATGCTGTCCCTGTCATATTCATCTCATTCGTCTGCAGCAGCCTGCGTGGGGACGCAGGGTGGACTGGTTCGTCACTTCTTCTGACTCCCAATTCTGAACCGCCCCACAATGTCATTAGAATTGGCCAGAGGGAACAGGAGGTGTGTGTGGCACCTACATAGTTGAGAAAGAGGGCTGGCTGGACTTGTCCCAGAAGAAGCCTTGAAATGGAGCATTGAAGGGCAAGGCGAGTTTGAGAGAGGGAAGAGCTCCTAGGTACCCAGCTGCCCGCTCAGCATGTGAGTGTGTGACCCGTGGCCTCGCACACGGCTTACAAAGCAGCCCAGGGGCAAGCCCAGGTGCAGGGCACGACATGGGCGAAGGCCTGGAGGTGGGAGTGAGCCTGGTATGTCCGAGGAGCGGGAGCAAGGCCTGGGTGAGCCAAAAGTGGGAGGCATGGAGAGGGGCTCACAGCCGTGGCCCGGCCTCCTGGGTTGTAAGAGGGTCCTTGGGAACTGTGGGAAACAGAAGGGACTTCAGGAGCCAGCTGGCTGCTGGCTGCAGATATATAGCTAGGGAAGAGGTAATGGAGGCGGAACACACACGATCCGAGGAGGACCTCAGCTGCTGAGGGGCTGGGCCAGGAGGACAGAGCACGCTCCCCTTCACTGCGGTCCGTTTTTCCTGCCTGCAGGTGACCCTGATCCCCACGTTCGACTCAATGGCCATGCACGAGTGGTATGAAGAGACGCATGCTCGGCACCAGGAGCTGGGCATCACAGTGCTGGGCAGCAACAGCACCGTGTCCATGCAGGATGAGGCCTTCCCCGCTTGCAAGGTGGAGTTCTAGCCCTACCCCACCCCACCCCACCCCACCCCACCCCTCAGCCCAAATCCGCCACTGTCCCAAGAGTCACTGCATCAGAAATAAACCAAGTGTCCCACTCCACTGTGGCCTCAGTTTCTTCTGCCAACAGGAGAGCTGGCAGCGCAAGGGACAGTCGCCATCATGTGGGCTCCTAGGTGAGGCACAGAAGAGGGCGTGGCTGTCCAGCAAGGATTGCCGGCAGCGTCCCTGCTGCTGACCACAGCCCTTCCCCCACCCTGGCCGCTGGGAGGGGCTGTTACAGACGGGGAAGGCAGCTGATGGACCCCTTCCATATAGGCCAGTCAGTGGCTGAGGTGAGATTTGAACCCCAGTCTCCACTCCAAAACCATAAAACCAAAGCTGCCCTGTTCCTAGAGAAAATCCATGCTTATAGCAGGAGTCAGAGCTGCAGGAAGAATCTGAAACTCAAAAGGTTGCAAACAGCAGTTTCTTGACGAGCCCCCATCCTTACCGCTGCATGTATAGAAACTCCTAAATAAAATTTTAGAAAAGATGCCATCCACAATGGCTTGAATGGTGACTCCAGAAAACACCTGTTTGAATCCTGGCCTGTGATACCTGGGAATGTGACTGGATGAGGAAAAAAGGTCTTTGCAGGTGTAACTAAGTGAAGGGTCTTGAGATCATCCTAGACAGAGTGGCTCTAAAGCCAGTGATAACTGTCCTTGTAAGAGACAGAGGGGGAGCCCCAGGCCCAGAGGAGAAAGTTGTGCAGATGGAGGCAGAGGTTGGAGTGATGCAGCCCCATAAACTAAGGGACGCCAGAGCCCCAGAAGCGGGAGAGGGTGAGGAAGGCTCCTCCCCTAGAACCTCCCAAAGGAACCAACCCTGTTTACACCTGTATTTTTAAGCCCCCAGTTTGTGACACTTTGTGACGGCAGCCCAGGACACACACCATCAGCTCTCCTGAGCTGTTCAGCACGCTGCTCCTCTCCCTTGGAAACAGCGGCCCGAAATCACTGTGTGGCTGCGTAGGGTTTTGTGGTACGGATGCCTTTGGGCTGTGTCAGCCAATGTCTTGATGCGTTCAGGCTCCTATAACGATACTGCAAATTGGGCAGTGTAAGCAACAGACACTTAATTCTCACGCTCGGAAGGCTGGAGGTCTGAGGTCAGGGCGCCAGCAGAATGGGATCCTGGTGAGGGCCTCTTGCTGGTTTGTAGCCAGTTGCCTCCTTACTGTGCCCTTCACGTGTCCCGAGTCCCTTATAAAGGCACTAATCCCACCCTAAGAGCTCCACCCTCAGGACCTCATGGAATGCTAATGACCTCCCAAAGGCCCCACCTCCAAACACCATTTTATTGGGGATTTGTGCTTCAACATAGGAATTTAGGGGGACACGAATCAGTCCATAGCAGTCAGGGATCAGAGTCACAGGGCCAGTGGCAGTTACAGAAATCTTGACTTTGACTGTATTTTTAATGAGCCCTGAATACTTGGTGGATCTTTCCCTGCTTTTTACATTTCTGATGTTGCTGTGTTTCTCCTCACTCTCACTCGGCATCCCAGCTGGACAGACCTTCCACCACCTAGAACACTAGGTGCTGAGACAGGAAGGGGTCACATGGCCAGGAATCAGGACCAGCTCCTAAAGGCTTACAACAGGAAGCATGTAATTGACCAAAGCAAGTGACATGACTGGCTGATTCAGGAGCTGAGAAGCACTCAGCTCCTCCCTTGTACCTGGAGGGGGAGAATCTGAAATAGTCAAAATCAGCTAATGACCACTGACAAGTGCCCCCCTCCCCCGGCCCCCTCAAAGGGAGCTTTGCCCTGGCCCGGGGTTGGCAAACTTTTTCAGTAAAAAAACCACATATATATTTTTGGTGGTGTGGGCCATGCCATCTCTGTCCAGACCACTCAGCTCTGTTGTTGTAACTGAACACAGGGAAATGGCTGCATTCCAATAAAACTTTATTTACACAAAGAGGCTGCGGGCTATGGTCTAGGGCATGACTCTGACCCTTTCTCATCCATGGGCTAGAACAGCTTGCAGCTTGGAGTCTTCCTCCCCGTGCCCCCCGCCCCGGCCCCCATTCCCTTCTTTTCCTCTCTCTCTGCGTCTTTTTTTTTTCTCCCTCCCTCTCCCCAATCTCTTCTGACAGCTGTCTGGCCAGGCCTCTGCAGGAGCAGCCACTAAAAATATCCCTGCAGCATTGAAGGGCGGGGAGGTGGCGGGGGGCGGGGGTGGGGGGAGCCCTGGGCCTGCGCAGGAGCCAGATGTGTGCCCTTGGCCCAGGCCCCCACTCTGCACCGCCGTGAACCGGGAGCCCCTCCCTGATACCCTGCGCCTGAGCTGCAGTGTTTGCCTGCCCTCCTGGGATCTCTCGGTGTTGCTTTAACATTCAGATCCTGTCTCCAGGCCTTTGCACCTGGGTGTCCTCAGCTTGCAATGCCACCGTCCAGCCAGTCATTCAGCAATGCTGCCCTCGCTGGGCAAACGGCATTGAAAGGGGGAGCCAGACACAGGAGACTACAACCCGCAGGGTTGGGGCGGTAGGGTGGCGCACAGTGCCAGCGGTCCCCATGCCACCCAGCATAAGGATGCAAAGGAGCAAGCCACGTCAGGGGAAACAGAGGAGCACGCCCGGGGAGGGGCCCACAGAGACAGAGGAACCGAGAGGAGACTGGTAACACTGAAGCCCCCGGAACAAGGGGCAGCTGCTGTGGGTCCTACAGCTGCCTGCACGCGCTGCTGAGCAGTCAGTTGCCAAGTTCCCCTTCTTGGAGCTGAGGGCGGGGCCCATCTGGGGAGCAGTGAGTGAGGAGGCCAGATTTGGGGCACGGATTTGGAAGACATTGGGGAGCAGAAGGTGGGTGGCTGGGGGGCCCAGGTCTGTGGTGGGGCGTGATCGGAGCACTTTTCTGGGAAGATGTGAGCTCTTCGGAGGCAGTGGTGGGGAAGGGAGGGATGGTTTCTCCTGGGAAAAGCAGCACAATAACCTCTCATCTTCCAAATCCCACCTACTAGGGCCTCTCCTCCAGGAAGGCCTCCCTGCTCTCCCCCTTATCACACCCACACGCCCAGCCCAGGCAGCCTGACTATTCCTGACCTACTCCTTTTAAAATGCCAACCTGTCCACCCTCTTGTGTTTCCTTCTAGTCCGCAGCCCAGATTGCTGCTGAAACAGGCACCTGCCTACACAAAGTATGTCGCTTTATCTGCGTAGCACATAGGTGCTCAGGAAATGTTGCTTGTGTCCCAGCTTGGCAGCATTGCTGTGTGACCTTGTGAATGTTACTTCACATCTCTGGGCACCGCCCCCTTCCTCCACCCTCAGAAATAAGAAACTTGGCCTGTGAACCTCCAGGTGAGGTGGCCTTGGGCTGTACTGGGGTTGATGGCCTCTGGGTTTCCTTCCCTGGCCTTCTTAGCCCCAGGCTTGTCAGATGGGTCTGTTCTACGTCCTGTCCTCCCTATCACCGCAGTGTTTTTTGTGGTCCAAGTTCAGGGCAAGTGAGAGCTTTGGCACCAGTGCACCTGGGTCAAGTCATGCCTTGGACATGTCTTCACTCTGTGACTTCAGAGTATCCTCTTGCCTACGAGCCACAGTCTCCTTGCCTGTAAAACAAGAATTCTCTCCCTCTTCCCCAACTTGCCCCTGGCTCAGACTTTGAGGGAGGCAAGTGTGGGGCCAAGAATGCAGTGCAGATCCCACCTGGCTGGTTCGAGTGGTGCCAGAACCCCCAAGGAGCCACCAGCCTGTTGAGGGAGGGGGCCTGAGCCTCGTATAACACCCTGGGGTAAAGGGGTCAGCCCAGACCAGAGCTTGCAGATCGGCTCTGCAAGGTAAGACAGCAGTCAGACGTGGCACTGGGAGAGAAGAGCACCGGGGGGCAGAAGGCACCTCAGAAGTAGAGGTGCTAGGCTGGGGCCGATTTTGTTCAGGCTGCAGAGATGGGGGCGGGGCCGGACTGCACCGGCCTGAGGGCTTTGGAGAGCCTCTGGAGTCTTGACTGAGGGTGCTGGCAGCGAGGGGAGGGTTTGGTGCTGGAGAAGCATGCGATGGGTTTCTATTTTTAAAAACCCCTGCAGCTTGGGGTTAACCTCCTACAGCCACTCTCTGTGCACCTGGAATGGCAGATTGCTCACTGTAGAGATATCTGCATGAACATATGTGTAACTTTTCTTCAATGCAAATTATTATTTTTAAATATATTTATTGATTGATTTTTAGAGATGATGGGGAGAAAGGGAGGAAGAGAAACATCTATATGTGAGAGAAATATCAACCAGTTGCCTCTTGCATACCCTCAGTTGGGGACCTGGCCTACAACCCAGGCATGTGCCCCAACCAGGAATTGAACTGGTGACCTTTTGGTTCGCAGACCAATGCTCAATCCTCTGAGCCACACAAGCCAGGGCTCATGTTTAACTTAATGTAGGTACAAGCAGTTACATGTGGAAATATTTAGAGATTTGTATATATACACGGGTTAGTATACACACATATATGCCCTGGCTCTGTCAGTGGAGAGGGCGAGAAGCCGTGAAACCCAGTAGCAACAAGTACCCCGACTACCCTGGTCTTGGTTTTAGCACTGTTCCCCAGTGGACGGCACAACAAAGGCTTCTCCTGGGAGAAAAGTCTGATTCCCCGGCTGGGGCAGGAAATGGGTGACGTGAGCATGGAGCCTCTTGTAGTGGCAGAGTAAGGAAGTGCTAAAAGAGGAAGACAAGGGTGTGATAGGGGCGTGATAGCCAACTGAATGAACTCCCAGAGGCCAAAGCTGGAACAATTTAGGCAAGAAAATCAGTAAAATAGTATTGGATTATAATCCAAAGTGTAAAATACATATCCATGGATCCATGCTGATATGAATAAATTGAATAGATGAATAAAGGGAGGAGAAGAGACATATTTCCCAGGCAGAGGCACCCCAAATAATTTATGCAAATACTCTTCCTTCAAGGAGGGGGAGTAGAACTGCCCTTGGGTGTGGGCTGTAAATAGCAAATGCCTTCCAAAGGGGGCGCTTGGA